TCTCTTTAGGTGTGTGTAGTACTAGGAGGGGTCTGCTGGGGGTCACGAGTGCAGTGGCTGAGGTGGAAAGGACACCGACAGCATGTCAGGGCAAAACTTAGTATGGTAGGAAGAGAAGCTGCTGCTTGCCAGACAGGTTCATGCTTGAACCTTTGCTGCACAAGTTCTCCCATGAGCCTTTCATCTTGCAGCTGGAGTTTAAAACACCAAACCATGGTTAGTGGAAGGAGTTAACTTTTTTATTTTTGGTAAAAGGCAGGTTTAGGACTAACCCTTCCTGCGGTGGTTTATTTGACTCATTGCATTAGTTTAGAGAAGGCTTCCAAAGCTGGAACTTACCTGGAGCTTACCTGGATGTTTGCTAGTTCCTGATTCTGCACAGGACTGGATATATGCTCAGGGTTGTATTTAGCAGATGTTGGGGGAACATTTTAGTGATTCACGTGCTATAATGGGGGCCTCTTCTTGTTGATATTCCTCAGTTTAACTGGTGTATTGGCAGGTTGGCATCTGTTTTCCTTTTTTGTAAGACTGTTTTTACTTTCCAGTACAGAACCAAGGGGCCGCCTCAGTGCTGTGCAGGAGTTTGTGCCCTGCAGGTACCTCTGAACCCACTCATTAGCACTTGCCAAGGAGGCACCCTTGGATGCTAAAGCAGCATTTTCATGGTGCAGTTTACTTGTACTTCCTGGCCATGTTTGGGAATGAAGTGGGTCTGAAATGACCATTTTTAGGGAGAACCATAAGAAGTTATAGCAGGGTGTGTAAGTCTTGAAAACAAACCAGCATTGACCGTGCTGGTACAGAGGACAGAGCTCTTAAGCCTCCGCTCCAGGTCAAACTTGGCAAGTTTCACTCTTGTAAATCCATGGGCCATCTGTGCTCTTCATTGTACCTCTTGCAAGGCATCCATCCCTAAGTTTTTCCTTGTACCCATACAGTGGAGTGGGGAAACTGTGGGCACGAAAACTTGGAAACTTCTGCATTTGTGGAGTGTTCTTTTGCAGGTGCATTTTTTTATAAACTGAAAAGAAAATGCTGTCTTCATAAATTAACATGTCAGATGGGAAACAAAAATCCGAAGAGGCAGAAGTAATGCTTTTCTTGGGTTGTTTAATATGTTAGTGCTCTGCAAAATCTTTTCAGCATATGCTTAGAAAAACTGGTGGAGCAAACTTTTGAGGAACTTTTTATGTAAGTAAAGCTAGAAAACTACTTCTGCCTCCTTTGAGGATCAATGGAAAGAGGGATTTTCTGTTATGAATAAACAGGAATAGAAGTGCAAGTGTGATATTGAGCCTGTGCAGAGCCAAGAGCACAAATACTGTTCAGGATCGTGTCCCTTGTAGGTCAGCCAAGCTGTTGTTACCCGATCTGAGTAACTGTTGTATGAATACTTTTTTGGGGGAGGTCTCCAATTCCTGGTGATCAGTCAGAGCAGTGTTCTGTCCCTAAGCTATTAAGTGGCTAATTAGAGCCGGTGCGAGTGGCGCTTTGAAAAGCTCCTGTGCTGCTTGCGGGGCAGGAGCTGCACCTTTGAGCTTGCAGAGCTCGTCCCTTAGTGTGATGAGCTGAGCCTTCGTTATTCCACCCTTCTGTGCCCTTGCCTGCCTGCCCCCAGCTTCAGGTTAAGTCCTGCTTTAGCTAATAGCAGCCGTCTGTCTAGGTGGATCTCTCCCGGCAGGGACTCCCACCGCTGCTCCAGAGGGTTGCTGTCGACCTCTGCTCCCTTAACTCTGTTTCCAAGTTTTCTTTGGCGCTGGTAGAACTGGTTTCTTTTGGCATTCAATTAGCACCTGCTTCCCCTTATCTGTCCTCCTCAAGAGCCCCTGCGGGGCCGCTGCAAAAGCTTCAACCCTGAGGCTGGTGGTTCTCAAACTGTCTCTGCTGCTTAATCAGAGAGGGGCATGTTTAAGAGGGGCTAAGGAATAGATACCGATGAAAGCATCTTGGAACTGCGTCACAGATCACTGTTATTTGGGTTGAGGGAGTAAGAATAACATGGAGGAAGAGCACAGGGGGCTTGTCATCAGGTAGGCAAGCGTGACTGCTGGGTGCCTCAGATTAGGTGTCCTGGGGGAAGGTGGAGCTGAATATTCCCCAGAATTTAGAAAGTAAATAGGAGGCAACTTTTTTCTGTCTACATACTTTCCCATTAATGTTCCAAAGAGAAGAGCAGGTTTTTTTCTATGCTAAGTCTGTGAAGATAAATGAAGACAAATGTTGCAGGAAGTGTTGGTAGAAGTGATTTAAATTTTCTTTTCTGTGAAAAATTCCATATTCTGTCCTGGTGTCTGTAGCAATGCTCAGTACATTACTGTAATGTCAGAAATACTCCTTAAAAAAATAAATAGGTTGATCTTTTTTTCTCGTTAAGCCTGAGCTGTTAGTCTTCTGCCAAGTTGAGGCAGGACTTCAATAAATTATCCAGCATTTACTCCCTGGTGCGTAATGGAGACACGTACTGTGCTCCTGACACAACAGGAAGCCCAGATCCTGCCACGGAGTGCAGACCTGGCTCCAGTGACTCCTCACTGAATCTGGCTGACAGTGCTTTCCTCCGTGGCTTAATTGTTGGTTCGTTATCTTTGGAAAGCCATGGCAAAAGCAGGCAGGAGTTGAATGGGTACAGTTTCATTTGCCTCCCAAGAAGGACTCGCTTTATAAATAGCAACATGGAAATATTGTAAAACTCTCAGCTTCTAATAAAGGAGCTTTTCTTTTCTGTGCAAGTTACAATGTAGCACTAATAGCAGCTGGGCAGTATATGTTTGTGCTTTCCTTTACCTTCCTAGGATGTCAGATGCCCTGTCTATTTTGGGCATCATATATCCAACTCTAAATGGACTGTAGTCATCGATTCCTACTTAGGACTTCCTGGATTTCATTTCTGACTGCTGCTTTTCCACATTTAGTTTCCAAAAAATACTTACTGCAAGTCTTCTGCTTATACTTACATGCAGTTTCCATTCTAATAAACATTTTCCTTACAGCTTTCTCACAAATCCAACACTTTCTGAGGTCTGCCTCACTTGTGCTCAGTCTGACGGTGCTGCCTGTAACAGCTCTTAACTCGTATTGACGGGATCATGGTGGCAGTAAATCATGGAACAGAGGAACCACGAGTAATCTGGGCATTGCTTCTAGCAGGGCAGTGTGGCCAGGATGTTAATTCAGGTGATTATCTTTCTAAAGGAAATTTAATGCAATGTTTCATTCCCCCTCTTTTTAACAGAGTGTTGAGTTACTAGTTCATTTTTTAAATGGAAAAGCCAGGATCCCTACTGCTTTTCATTCTCTGTGTGGTTGCTTGAAGGATAAAATCTTTGCTGTAAGCCCCTGGTAGACATTCAGCCTGCTGTGTTCTGCCATCAGTGGCTTTGCTCCTGATCTTTAAGACAGTCACTAGGCAATGGCATGGGTGGATGTGAAAAAGGTTAAGTCCTCTCTCCTTGAATAGGTGGGAGGGCACCTGAGATGTTACCTGCTGGCTCCACAACATTTCTTCTGGTTCTCTGTGTACTGCAGTTCTTGTGCCTCAGAGGGGTGGCAATAGAGGAGGAAAAAAACTTAAATGCAGCTTGTGCTGCAGCCCATGGAATATTTGGGCAATGCAGGGTTCATTCTTTCAGGTGACGTTTTCTACAGCTGCAGCAGTGCTCTTCTGCCTTGCCACAGGTCAGAAATGAGAAATATGTTAGAAATAAGCTTTGAACTATGCTTGGGGAGAAAAAAAAGGTGCATTATGGTAAATGCTGTGATGCACAGCCCTTCCTGACTTTGTTGATCAAGATGGCTTTGCCTTAGTGTCTGCTGTTGTTTTCACTACGTCTGTTTTCTCCCCCACTATTTGTCTCATTCCCCAAATCATTTTACAGGAGACTTTTCATAGTCTCAAGTGGCCTTAGCCAAGCTATTTCCTCTCTTTGTGCTTTCGCTTCCCCAGCTGTAAAATGGGGATAATGAGACCTGCTTGCTTTTGTCAGGCACTTAGAGATGTGCTTACGAAATGCGCTATTAAAAGGCTTTCTATGTATAACTGCTATACAAACAGCGGTTGTCCAAGTTTATTTGAATTACTTTATTAAAGCCCAAGGTTCTGAACATCCTTTGTTTTTAACAGAGGATGTTATTTATGCAGTAAAAATGCCCAAAATGTGAAGCTATTGATTGTTGCTGATAAGTTTATGGATATTAAAGCATTAAATCATCACCGCCCATTATCAGCCATTCTGGTGTCTTTGGAAGCTGAAAGTGGTTGTGCATAGCTGGGGCCCCTGATTATCTCAGAGTGATCAATAAAAGGTTTTCAGCAGAAGCTTTTATTGCCACGTGGTTAAAATGTTCTTCCTTTGCATCCTGTACACGATGACTTCAGCTCGAGGAGAGAGAGAGAACAATCCTTTGTGGGGTAACTGGATTACACAAAGAAATGTGGGCATTATGTTGAAGTAGATACTGCTACTTGGAGTTTCAGTTCCCTTCCACCACCTGCTGCACTCCCTTATGCTGGGAGGGTTTTCTTGCCTCTCATTGTGTTTGTCCAGAAAGTTTTGAGTGTTTTAATAACAGCAAACCCCACAGCATTCAGGGAAGGGAGGAAAGAGTTGGAAGCTGAGAGGTAAATAAAATCAGAACTAAAACTGGGCTAGACTGTTTAAAATCTGTGTATCTCGTTAGCAGAGGAGTGTCTGGTGTCTCATGAATGTGGAAGGACAGAACCTGTCCATGAAAGGAAATGCAGAGCCCCATCTGAAAGCACCGAGTGCTGAAATGGGTGCTCGGTGGTGTCTGCAGGAGAGCTTTGTGCCCAGCATCTTCTGTTGCTCCTCTCTGAAGTCCTGTGGTCCTCTGCCCTGCTAAAATGTTGACACTGGAGTTCCAGCCCTGAAATACCTCGAAATGTTCCTGTGAATTTAGCATTTCATTGCTCACTCAGAGTACAGTGTGTAACGTGGCTTTGTGAGCAGCTCAACAGCAACTTTCTCTTTGTTTTGCAGACAGTTTCCATCTTGGAGCAGAGGCTGACACTCACTGAAGACAAGCTGAAGGAATGTCTTGAGAATCAGCAGAAAATCATTCAGAACAAAACGAACTGAATTTCCTGAGAGAAGTCGGGAGCTGAAAGCATTGGGAGGTTTAAGGTTGTTTGTGTTTCCAACAGACTGCGTGTGACTTGCTTTAACAATTTTGAGCACAATCTATTTTTCAATTGAAATGTATAGTTATTGTATCTGTAAATAGCTTTGTTACTTTACTAAAATAAAAGGAATATTTTATTCATAAGCGTGGATAACAGTTGTGATCTCTTGTGCTTTCCAGAGGTACAGCAGCTGGCGTGTGGACTGAGTACTAACCAGGAAGGTCGCCCCCCTCCCACCTCTGGTGCTGCTAAGTCTGTTTTGAAGTGTTAAAGCATCTTGGAGTTGCCAAATGCCTGGCACAGGCTGTATTAGGCTTGTTGCTGAGGTGTGTGCTGGCTGTAGGTGACAAGCAAAGTCCTCTCAGGGTATTTTGGGCAGTGGTAGCTCACCTCTGTTCTAGAACCATAAAAAACAGATGAGGGGGACTCAACTGGCACCTGTCTCAGCCAAGTCCCAGGTGGTACCTGGCAAATCTGACAAAGAGCAGTTGAGACCCTGGATGGTGTTTGTGCAGAGGTGATTAAACCCAATGGTGGGGTTTAGCCTGCTCCCTTGTGCAGTGTACGAAAAACAATTGCTTGAGGCTGGAAGAGAGGCCCTGGTGTGTCAGATGCAGGGGGGTTCCAAGTGGATTTTGCTTCATCTTTGTCTGCTTCTTAAATTAAAGGCAGGGTAAGGGGAGAGCAAGGCAACCAAATAGTGGAATGTTTTCTCCATCGTGGAACTCCCCCTCTTCTCATACTGGACTGCCTTTAATTTTTGGTCATTTTGCAGATGTTTTCACAGTTGAGTAGCTCATCACTGGCACCCTCCTCCCCTCATTGCTCCTGACTTTTTTGGGGCTTTAGCAGGTGTTCAGCATGTAGCTGCACAAGAATTTGGACTTCTGGGAGATCCTGTTCTCCAACACCTCTTCTGTTAATACACACTGGAAGTCTGCTTTCTTGCAATAAACTGTGACCCACATTCCTGGAGAAATGAGCCGCAGGAACTCGAGAAGCTTGGGGTTAATGTAACCCTCCTCACACTGTCAGATCAGGCTCCTCAGCCTGGTCTGCCTCAGTCCCTGCCCTTGGTGGTCCCTCATGCCACCACTGCTTGCCAGCCTTGCACACCTGCCAGAGCCAATCTCCACGTGCTGTGGGCACTCCAGACTCTTGCCTGAGGACTGGCTGCCATCCTTACTTCACATGGGGCTTAGCTGATTTTTAAGGCCAGCCTGTGTGGTTTTGCTTTTGGGTTGGTTTTTGGGTTTGCATCTGTTTCTGTTGCGGGCTGTGTTGGCTGGTACAGTGTCTCAACAGTGTTAATGCTCCTCGTCCCACCTGGGTGAAGCTGCTCGTGTTTCCCTGCTGGCACTAGGAAGCTTCTGGTCTCTTTCCCTCACAGTATTTTGTACATCTCTAAGAACCCCTGGCTGGCTTTATCACAATATTTCATTTGCAGGAGGCTGAGAGCTTTCTCATTTCCATGCTTGGTTGATGATGAGTTTCTCTGCTCTGCCACAGACTTTGTTTTCTGTTTCCAAGCTCTTAGTCTGATAAATCATTTTTTTTCCCTTAGATTGCTCTAATGGAATCAATTCACTGGTGATATTCTGTGCTCTTGCTGTAAGCTTTCAGTGGCTTTCTGCTGAGACTGACATAATTTTCATTGAAATGAGTTTATATGGTGATAGGGATGGGTGGGGAGGGGGGGACTCAAAGGTATATGTGGCCAATTCATTGCTGGGAAAAGGCAGTTTCTGTCCTGATCTGCTGCTACTGAAGCGATGACAAAGGTCAGATGCAAGAGCCTAAACTTTCAGCTTGATCCTCGGTGTTGTGGACTGGCCTTTGGGATGGAGATAAGAACAGGATACGAAAGTTTAAGCATTCCAGCATCAGTTTTTAAGCTTAGCTTCAAAAATAGCCTTTGCATCCCTTTAATGTATATTTTCTAATGTCTTAGAGACCACAGAAGCAGTTTGTATCTGGTATTTTAGAGAGGATGGCAACACAAATGACACACTCGATGTGTGCCCAGAGGTGCCACTTCTGGATGCAGTTGGTACAGATGCCTTTTTCTTTTCAGATGTTCTGAGTGAATCCATTTGAAAGACTTAATTGGGCTTCTAAAACAGATGAAATGCTTAGGTGCTTAGAGCAAGCCAGAGGGATGTAGGGTGCTGTGGCTTAACCCCAGCCAGCAACTAATCCCCACACAGCCCCTCACTCACTCCCTCATAGTGGGATGGGGGAGAGAAGCAGAAGGGTAAAAGTGAGAACTTGTGGGTTAGGATGAAGACAGTTGAACAGGTAAAGCAAATTCCACATGCACAAGCAAAGCAGAACAAGGAATTAATTCACCACTCCCCATGGGCAGGCAGGTGTTCAGCCATCCCCAAGACAGCAGGGCTCCATCATCCATAGCAGTGACTTGTGAAGACAAATATCGTCACTCTGAATGTCCCCCCTTTTCTCCTTCTTTCCCTAGATTTGTTTGCTGACCCCCTTGGGTCAGCTGGGGACAGCTGTCCTGGCTGTGTCCCCTCCCAGCTCCTTGTGCCTCCTCCCTGGTGGAGTGACAAGCACTCTGTGTAGGCACTGCTCAGCAACAACTAAAGCATCCCTGAGTCACCAATGCTGTTTCCAGCACAATTCCAGAGCAGGCCCATACTAGCTACTGGGAAAAAGAATTAACCTTACCCCTGCCAAAACCAGCACTTTGGGAAAGTTGCTTTTCTGGGCTCAACTTCTTGTTCAATATTGTTGTACAGGTAATTCGGATTCCCTCTCCTCCTGACTTCCCATACCCACCCTAACAACCTCTGTACAATGTAGGTGGCAAGAAAGGTAATCTGAAAGGAATTACTTCTGACAGTACTATCTACCTCAAGCACTTCCTTGTCCTGAATCTCAGCAACTTGCACCCTCTTCATTTCCCCCCCTTGCAGCCTCTTACCTGGAGTAGGATATCAGGACTTAAAATGTACCAGCACTTCTATGGGGTGGTTATTGCTTGAGAGGCAGGCAGTGTTTAATCCTTGTGCTTAAACACTGAGCAATAATCTCAAAAAAAAAAAAAAGAAAATATTTGAGGAGCCCAAATCCTATTGCCTGTCTTGTCCTGAGGCTTCATGCTTTATCCACTAAGCACCATGGTTTTTGAGCACTGGGGAGAGAATAGCCTCCAGAGTGGGTTAAATCCACTTTTATTTTTATAATCATTATCTTTTCTTTTTTTTGTTGACTTGGGCACATCTGCAGTGTCCAATTTGTGAAGCTCTTAACTCAGGGAGCAGTAAAACAGCCAAGTGAGGAGGAGCACTTGTTTGTACTCGGGCTGCCATGGCCTCTGCACTGCATGAGGACATACCCTGCCCTGAAAACCACTTGTGGGGAGCTTTGTGCAGGGGGAGGCTACGAAGAGTTAAGGATTTTGTTTTGGATCTCCAAGGCACGATGGAAGCCAAGTTCTTAAAAAAGTAGTTTAATTTGTTGCCATTACATTTGCCAGACGTATGACCTCACTAAACTTTCAGCAAGGGTTCTTTGTGCCGAGATTGGCCCCTGGGGAGCCCGGTGCTGCTGCAAATGGCTTTTTGGCTGCTATGAGCCTGGAGCATGTTAAACATAACCACGATCTGTGAAAAAGTCAGAATCTTCAAGCACTACCCACTTTCCTTCCTGTCTGGGAGCTGGAATTGGACAGATACAACAGCAGAGCTCATTACTGAATAGGCAAAACCAGCAGAGCACTGTGGTACCGACGGTCCTGGCCGGGAAGTGCGATGGCCGGGAGCATCCTCTGCCCGCGGGGCTGTCACTGGATGCGAGTCTGCCAGCCAACTAGAAAATAAAATCCAACTATGATCTAAGTAGCTGGGCTAAAACTAGCCAGCCTCGTGGTACAAATCACTTATTATATAACCTCTTTAAAGAGCTGCTTTTGAACGAAATGTTTTTTGAAACTCTTGAGTAGGAGGGGAGGGAAGCGAATCGTTTTGCAAAGGTTTGTCACTCTGACGTGAGAGCAGGGCTGCAGTTCTTCTCTTGCTTTTAGAAATGGTTGGTCTGCAAGTGCTTCTCAAGTGGCATGACCTGATCACCTGTAGTTTTGGGAAGGAAATACGATGGGAAAGAAGATTCTCTTATTGATACTCGTCTGTGTATTTGACCTGGATTTCCCGTGCTGTAGGAAGTTTTATGTGTGTCTCAGGGAAAGCTGGGATCTATTTGTAGTTCTGCAACAGAACTGTCATTGCAGGCAGACATGTCTCTTCAGTCCCCTGTTCTCCTTGTCAGGGGAGACATCTATAAATTACTTACTCTATCGAGGTACAGGTTCTGTGAAAGAAGAGCTCGTCAGAGATTTGAATGTAGTGTGTCAGGGAAGAGGGAGATGGGCTTCCAGGACACAGGTCCCTGGCATCCCTTACTTTCTCCCTGTCTCCTTGTAGCACAGCAGACAGTGCTGCTGGTGAAGGTGTACTGCATGGCACAAGTGGTGGCTGTCACCTCAGGCTTCAGATGGGGTTGGAAGCTACCTGGTATCACTTCTGAGGAAAGGTGGGGGGGACATGCTTATAGCAGCCTGTTGGGAGAGGGTGCTGTGGGCTGGTTTCTGGTGAGGGATGAGCCTCATGGACACCTGGGGACGTTCTAGCATAGGGTGACTCGTTTTCTGCTGAGCTGCAGCTGAGACAGTCCAGGTGACCACTGCTTGGGGCCATGGATTTGCCATCTGCAAGGAAGTCTTTCCCCAGTGACCACCTTTAGATTCCTTTATACTCACTCCAGCCCTCCAGCCCTTCCTCCCTGATAATGCAGTACAGCTGGAAATTCACCGTTTTGTTGTCACAAAAATGTTAGGCTTGAATCAGTGCCGTGACCCAGCGCCAAAAACCTGTCACCTTTGTTCTCCTTTGCTGTTTCTGCTCCCTGCAGGCATCTTCCATGCAGTTAATAACTCACTGCTGCCTTCCAGACACCGGGCAAGCTGAGGATATGGTGGTGCTCTGTGTGGCACAAGGATTTTTCTGTACATCTCCAGTGAGAAGTGCTGCAAAGGCTGGTCCTGCTCACTCCAAGAGCTTGTGGCTGTGTGGAGTGTGTGCTGCTGTGTAGCTGTTCTTTCAGCTGGTGACTGAAAGGGTTAAGC